GTATTACTAAGGTAGTAAAAATCAAACTAAGCAAAATGAAAGTGAAAATAGAGAATGAGGAGATAGTGATGGTGTGATTGTAAAGAAAATTGTGTAGTGATGGTGTGGTATGAGGTGAAGAAAGAGAAACTAATATCCTCATTTTGGAGGTAATAGTTACACTAGGAGGAGGGGGGTGGGTAACTATTACCCTTATTATGAGGGTAATAATTCCTCCATCTCTCTCTTTTCCTCATGGCAAAACTACCTTATTTCATTTGTAAGCACCATACCTCCTACAACAATACCTCTAATTTTTTATGTTTTTTCAAATTTGACTTTTATTACTCCCTTAATATATTATCCCCAACTCAAGCAAGGCCTAATTGATGATTAATTTAGTGTGCATTGCACTTTTTTCATGCATTACGAATTTAAGTCACCGTTTCTTAAATATGTTGATAAAAAAAAAAGCATTAAAATATAAAATTAGTTGGGAATATTATGAAATCTACGAATGGAGCATTCAAAACCCTAGGCTAACGTAATTATATTTATGGTCAATGATCTCTCTTACCATCCTTAACTGAATGATCATGGAATTCCTTGTTGTGCGGATGCTTTCCTAACCTGAATTTCTAATTGAATAAAAATGAGAATGGTATTAATTAGATCAATTGAACTAATACAAATGCAATTAATAATAAAATAACCTTACAATTGAAAAAAAAAAACAAACAAAAATTAAAAAAAAAAAAAAAAAAATAACGGATCGGAAAACCGAAATATAACCTGAAGATGACTCTTGAGATGGTACAAAGTGAGACCTTTTACACCCATTACTCTCATGATAGTCTTTGGTGTAGCTTCTGTAATATAATTTCATCACAATTAATAATAGTAATAATAAAAAATAAAAATAAAAATAAACCCTAGCACGGAAATATTAGAGATTATACATATGATAAATACATATCAATTTAATTAAGGCATGTAATTAAGAAGTATTACTATCAGGGCCACCAAGTTGAGCAACAGCATCGACGAATCGGTCATGGAGCTCTAGAGTCCAACGAAGACGAGGCTTGGGATCGGTGGTGAGGATGAGGCCGGAATCGTTTTGAGCACACATAGAAGATGAAGATGACCTTTCATTAGATTTATTCATAGCAGTGGAAGAAGGCCTTTGAGGGTGAAACATTCTTAGCTTGTTTCTTAAGCCTTTGTAGAATACGAATGTCGAAAGAAAGAATATGATGCCCGGTTTTATTTATAAGGAGGAGCTGCTCCTTTAATTTAGCTTTCCTTTTTCATTTTATTAAAAATAAAAAAAAAAGTTTAAGGGGGACAAATTCACTCGTATAAAAAGAGTAAGCTATGTTTGATTATGGAAAAGGGTAGAATAAGATTAGTAAAGGAAAAAGAGAAAGTTATACCCTATGGTATAAGGTAACATGCAAGATCCTCTTTAATTTTCCAAAGTGAAGCTCTCTGTGTCTTTGTCATATCGTGTCATAAAATGTTTTTTTGTTTCAAGTGAATTGCAGGATAGACTATTTTTGCTTTAAGAGATACGATTGATTTTTAGGGCATGGTTGGATTGAGGGGGATATATTAATAGGGTAATAAAAGTCAAATTAAGCAAGATAAAAGTGAAAATAGGGAAAGAGGAGATAGTGATGGTGTGATTGTAAGGAAAATTATGTAGTGATGGTTTGGTATGAGGTGAAGAAAGAGGAACTAATACCCTTATTTTGAAGGTAATAGTTACACTAGGGGGAGGGTGGGTAACTATACCATCATTATGAGGGTAATAATTTCTCCATCTCTCTCTTTTCCTCATAGCTTAATTACCTTATTTCATTTGTTAACACCATGCCTCCTACAACACCACCTCTAATTACTAATGTTTTTTCAAGTTTGACTTTTATTACCCCCTTAATATATTACTCCCAATCTAAACAAGACCTTATAGTTAAATCTGTAATAAGAAGCGCCAATCTTGGATAGGTGTTTTGGATAATTGAGTTAAATCTTTCATAAGTGAAGTTTATTGGAGAATTTAATTGTTAAAAAAAAATAAAGTGGGTTAATAGTTTATTTAAAAGATTTATTGTGAGAAAAAAGATATAATGAAAAATAAGAGAGATGACGATGAGGGGAGAGGGATATTAAAAAAAGAAAAAGAAAAGTCTAGATGATTTCCACTTTCCTAGATGTTACATTTTAAATAAGAAATTGATTAAAAATTACACTTAAAAAAACGAAGAGTGTACATTGTTGTTAGTCTTGTTACAAACTTTCAAATGAAGCATGTGTACAATAAATATCCCTTCATAATGTTTAAATGAATGAAACGTTTTCCTCGTACACGTATGTTAATGCAAAAGTTTGACTGATGAAAATATCTTTAATTATCAATAAGTTAAATATTATAACAATTGAATATTAATAAACTATTCATTGAGACGATTCCAACAAGTACTCAAATGACTATATTTATTCTTGTGTATGTATAAATCACAAACATTTGTCAAAGTGAATTAGATGAATAGTGGAAAAAGCCAAAACGTTTTATTTATTTAAACATGGAGAGAGTAATGTATATTGACTGCGAAGTTACCACAAAATGATCAATTTAACCCCGATATAAATAAAATTTAATTTATCTATCAGTACAATTAGGGATGGCAATATTAGACGGATATCCGCTAACCCGATCCACCTGCTTAAAATAAATGGACGAAAACCCAAAATAAATGGATGAGAAACGGGTGACGGATAGAGTGGATGACGGATCGGATCGGATCGGATCGGATGTGGATGAAGATTTTTTCACCGGCTAACCATCCACCCGCCTATTTAACATACATAAAAATTTTAAATCTAAGAATTTTAATTAATTTTTTTTTAAATATACAATAAAAATACTTTATGTTGTTGCAAATTAATTTTTTCAAAGAATATGTAGTTAGTGCTTCCTTTTTATCTGAAAATAATAATAATTCATGGTATAAATAACCATAAATTAAATTTTATGTGAATTTTTTTCATAAAATGTTCATCCATTAGTCATCTGATCCACCCGTTTTGTTTGGGGGTTTTTTATGTGTCCTACGGGAGAGTTACAATTTCCTAGTATGCTCCTTCCTTTGCCTGTACCTGCACAAGTAACGGAAAACTCCGGCTGGGGGCTGGGGTGTTTTGTCTCCGAAGGTTAAGTTAATATCTTTCTTAATGAGGAAATAAGACAATAAATGCTTCTCGATTTAAGAGCGTTTGCAAGGGGATTTGTGTTTGGTTGGTGTTTGGAAAATGATTCGATCCCCATTAATGAGGTCTTCCCTTACTATTTATAGTAGGGGAGAGCTGTACCTCAATTAGGGTACAATGACACGTGTCGCAAAGGGATTGGGTCTTTGCTGACCGTTGCAAACTTGACACGTGGCAAGCGTTTATAGGGCCACGTGTCTTAGGGGTATTTTTACCCTAAACATCTGCCCCTCATAGGTGTGACGTGGCATGTCCACGTGTCACCTGTGACAAGTGTTAGACGCATGGGAGAAGACAGTTCGTCTTCTTCCCTCCTTTTTTCAAATTTTTAAGTTTTTAGGGCAGAAGGCATTGTTCCGCCTTCTGTTCCTTTTCTATAAATGAGAGACTCTCTCTCTCTCCTCCACACTTTGCATGTTTTTCAAAAATTTCTTGAGAGCTCTGATACGTGCTGCTAATTTCCTTCAAGTTTTCTTGCATCCGGCCTTGTGAGATCAAGTACATCCGGCTACCGGTTGGGTAATTTCTCTGCAATTTTCTAAGGTGCCGGATCCTTTTCTTCATTCTCTTTTACTTCTTTCTTTTTGAGGATTTGTTGAATGTTTTCCCTATCCGGGTGGTAAGCCGCCTGGGGGGTCCTAGACCCATTTCCAAGTTTAGACTACAATACCCTTTCTTTTTCTGTCAAATAACAAGGCTTTCAAAGCACCCCCATCCGGTATTACACCGCTTGGGTATTTGTTTTGTCAAGAACTGATTTCAAAAACCCCAACCGGTTTTAAAGCCGGTTGGGTCATCATCCTTGTCTTTTCATGACCTTTTCAAATTTTAAGATGCGTTCAATGCACCACCATCCGGTGAATCACCGTCTGGGTATTGTTTGAACATGCCTTTTTGAAACAGGTCTTACTATACCCTCATCCGGTATTTTACCGTTTGGGGTATTGTTGATTTTAAATGTTGCTTGTAGCACCTTTATCCGGCATTTTTACCGGATGGGGTATCTCTTACCCAACTTCCTTGATACCGTCTGGGGTATCATGGAGTGAGCCTTGCAATTCTTTTTACTATTTTTACAAATGCTTATCACAACCCCCCCCCCCCCATCCGGTTTTATACCGTTTGGGGGTACTTTTATCCTAGCTCACTGAGTACCGTCTGGGGTATTATTCAGTGAACTTTTCAATTTATCTAGCTAAGTTTTCAAAAATGCAAGTCATAACCCCCCATCCGGTCTTGTACCGTCTGGGGTACTTCTGACCTAGCTCGCTGAATACCGCCTAGGGTATCATAGAGAGCTTATACAATAATCTAGCTATCCTTTACAAATGTTTGTAAGGAACCCCCATCCGGCCTTACACCGTCTGGGGTACTTCTGACCCACCTCATTGAATACCGTCTAGGGTGTTTTTGGGTGAGTTAGTAAATAACCGGCTAAGCATTTACTTGGTCTTTTTCAGCTTTAAACACTTGGTGGAGTTCCCCGCCTGAGGTGACTTCAAGCCAACTCTTTCAACTTTCTCATTTCAAAGGTACCGCCTGCATCCCATACTTGTCATTTTCTTTTATTTCCGGTTGCGTAGTATTAGGATATGGACTACACCAATGCACACACGGCACAGCCTACGACTGTGGTCAGCCGGTCACCAGGAACGGCTGAGTCTAGGACTGGGATTGCCGTCTGGGGGTGCTTGGAACAACCTTCACCTACATCGAATCCGACCGTCTCTGTTCATGTGCAGGACAGAATGGCCCGGGTTAAACAGACGGCAAGGGATCCCGATTACAAGTCCGATGATGCAGCCGTTGATCCGGTTGACCCTATAAATCAAGAACAAGCCGAGGAACCGGCTGAGATGGGTCCTAATGAAGAGGTTCCGCAAAATTCCCCGAATACACCTAGCACACCAGGTGACAGTATCTTGGATAGCTCTGGTTCCAACGCTGAGGAATCCGGAGAGGGATCCGGTGAAGAATCCGGAGAGGGATCCGGCGAGGGATCAGCCGATAATGAGGAGTCCGGCTAAGGGCGACCCGACTGATATGACCATGTCCGCCAGGGATGTGGTCACTTTAAACGCCACACTCCCTGCTTTTTTAAAGAAGAATCCAGTTGGGGAGTAATGGGAAGTGGTTGTCCCGCCTGTAGAGGCAAGCGTCGTTTGGACCGACGACGTGAATAATGCCGACAACTACTTCGGCTGCTACGAGGCGGCATTCACAGCCGGTCTCCGGTTCCCCCTCCATCACTGCATAAAAGCCATACTAAAGGGGTATGACTTGGGTGTATGGCAGTTGACCCCTAATTCATGGGTCAACATTCTTGGATACATTGCCGCCTGCAAGCTGTAGGATGTCAAGCCAAGCTGGGAAGCATTTGCACATATGCATTATTTAAGCAGAGCGCCGGGTGGGTGGAATGCGTAGTACACTCTCACCACGCTTCCGGAGTATATGATAACTTTGGACAATCCGTCCAAATAGAGTAATTGGAAGAGTAAATTTTATGTCGTCTCTTCCCCATCCCCCAACTTAACTGCCGGCTGCGCAGATACAATAAGCACCCGGCATTGCTGGGAAGAAAATGCGCTCTCCCTAGAGTACCGGCTGAGGCTTGGGACCAAATAATGCAGAAGGATCTCTTTCTAAAGACAACCGCTCCACTGGATGACGGGAGCAAGATCATAGTTCCCCAATTTCGGGTGCCCCATCCGGATTGGTTTAGGGATGAGGGCTTTTTGTCCCTTTGTAATTTAAGTACCATGTTTAAGAAGGGTAGGTTCACTGATTGATTAAGTCTTTCCCAGATGGGTATACCTTGTGTGATCTCTAACCATGTTTTCTTTCTTTTTTTTTTTGTAGAAGAAGCAAAAAGAATGGTGCCACCAGAGAAGACACCGGCTACTTCTGCCATTCTTTTGCGGAAGAAGCAATTTGAAGAGAAAAAGGCGGGGCTGGCCGCCAAAAATGCCGGGGTAGTCTTTTCTTTACCATATTTCTATTTACAGTTTATTCTTCTTTTGCCGGATGTACCCTTTTTCTCGGTACATGGTTTTAACCGGATGCATCCTCTTTGACTGTTTTCAGGCCAGGAGCCAAGTCGTACCTCGCTCTGTAGCGAGTATGCAAAAACGACCGGCTGGGAATATTCCCAAGCCAGCTGCCAAAGTGCCTAGGGTGGCGGCTCCTGCCCCAGCTGCTTGTCACACAAAGAAGACGCCTGACAAGGACATGCCAACAACAGCAGGTAAAAGCCTGCAATTTCACTCCCCACTTTGAAATGGTGGTGGTGTCAGCAAGACCGGATGCTTGTACTCAGACGGGCTCCGGTTCTTTAGCGGCTGGGGGGGCTTTGACCCCACAGTTCGAAAAAGGTAAAACTTCTGCCTTTGATCCCCCTGGCCGCTTGGGCATACGAGGGTAAAAACCCAAGCAAGCCAATCCGGGGATTCTTCTGGACACCGCCTAAATATTGGCGAGGCATATGCCCAATACCTTAGAGATGATTCTATGCTTGCAGATACAACCTCCAGCCGTCCAAACTATCAGCAATATGCTAAGAGGATGGTCAAGACCATTACTCGGTCTGAGAGGGAAGCTGTGCCGGCTTTGCACACGGTCAATCTTGACCGGATCACTTCTCTTCTTGCTGAGGTACATAATACCGGATGACCTATGTTTAAGCAATAATCTTTAGTACCGGATGCAAGTATTTTGTCTTTGATCTTTCCTAACACTTTTCCCGGCTGATATCGCAGACGCTGCTGAGAGTTGATGGGCTTAGCGTCCCTCTGCGCAAGAAGCAAGAGGAGGTAAGAGAAGCTCAGAAGCGCGCATCTGAGCTTATTGACGTTTGCCAATTCAATGCCCTTTCATATGACTTGGAAACTGAACAAAGGAAGTTGCAACAGGAGGAACTGCTGAAGAAGGTGGCTGAGGCTGGAGAGGCAGCTGTGAAGAGAGTTAATGAGCTTGAGTTGCAAGTAAAAAATCTTCAAACTGACCTTAAAGCTCTAGAGAATACTGACAAGGAGAATGCTGATCTCCGGAAGGACAACAGTCGGTTGGTAATTGAACTTGCAAACAATCAGGCGGCTCATAAGAAAGAGCTGGAAAAGGAACAACTCCGCCTGATTGAAGAAAATGAGGCCGACTGCGAAGAGCGCATGAAGCTGGCTTGAAACCTAATCCATCCGGACTTCGAGTATGAATACTGGAATCTTTGATACTAGTATGCCTCTAAGGTTTACGAGGCAAAGGTACTCGGCGCTGAACCTCCTCCTGCTTTTGACGAGTGGGCTGAGCGCAACACAAAGATTCAGCCGGATGAGGCTAATCAAGAAGCGCCAGTAGCGGATCAGCAAGAAGTGGTGGAGCAGTCAGCCGAAGTTCTAGTCGATCCAACTCAGCAGCCGGAGCATCAGCAACAGCAAACTCAACAACAACAACAACCTCAACAGCAACAACAACCATAAACATTTTCTTTCTATACTCAACAGCCGAGTAGTTTTCGTGTAACTTTCCCGGACAGGGGTCCGGTTAACATTTGAAAATTTTTTAATCTACTAGCCAACGCAGTCGGTTTTGCTATTTTATATTCTCTCTATTACTTGCATTTTTTATTTATGCAATTTCTACAAGTATTACAAGTTTCTACTACTCATCCAGTTAATATTCTTCCAAAGTAGAATGGCTGTTCATTTATTCCAACGGTAAATGAGCATCCGTTCTATTTTTCGCCGGGATGAAGTGATCATACCATGATATGCCCCTGAAATGGCTAACCGTTTACTCCAACGGTAAACAGACAGCCGTTTCATTGGCAGCCGGATGGGTGATCAATGGTTGATCTACTCTTACTCCGGCTGGTACAAGAAAATGCCCCTGAAATGGCTAACTGTTTAATCCGGTAAACAAGCAGCCGTTTCATTGGTAGCCGGATGGGTGATCAACAGTTGATCTACTCTTACTCCGGCTGGTACAAGAATATGCCCCTGAATTTGCTAAATGTTTATTCCAACGGTAAACAGGCAGCCGGATGGGTTGTAAAAACCGTTTGGGTGGCTCTTAGATAAAACCCGATTGTATTAACCCACTAGAATTTTAATTTTGCCGGATGGACCACTTTTGGGTCCTTGCCGGATGAATCCTAGATGCAAAGGATCATTTCTAACGGCTGCGAGTTTCTTGTAAGTAAATACCGTTTGAGTCATTTGATCGCTAGAACAATGTACCACCCGGAAGGGAGCTGTTCTCTTCAACGATTTCACCCGGATGGGTGTCGCCGGATGACTGCTCTTTTTGGAGCAGTGGCTTTTAACAAGTGTTCTTCCGTCTGTGTTTTTGCACTAGACAGGTGCTAATACAATTGTATGAATGGAAATTATATGCTTTCACATTTCAATACAATTTACAAAAAATTACAAATTCCTTAGAAGTAGTACTTTTTCAAGTTATCTACATTCTAGGTACGAGGCAGCGGCATTCCGTCTGGGGTTTCCAGGCGGTATGTGCCGTTTCTAACTTCTTCAAAAATCCGGTAGGGTCCTTCCCAGTTTGGGGTCAGTTTCCCTTGTTCGTTCGCCCTACCGGTTGCCTCAAGCTTTCGTAAAACAAAATCTCCGATTTTGAGGGGGCGTTTGCGCACCCTTTTGTTGTAGGCCCTCGTCATTCGCAGACGGTAGATTTCATGACGTATGACGGCATTGCCCCTTCTTTTAGGAAGAGTATCCAAAGCCAGGCGCATGGCTTCCCAATTTGCCTCTTCATCATATAACATGATTCGAAGTGTTGGCTCATATAATTCAATGGGAAGCACCGCCTCTGTGCCATATGCCATAAGAAATGGAGTTTCTCCGGTTGACCCCTTCTCAGATCCTCTGCCCAAAGACCGCCTACTTTTTCAATCTTCTTCTTTATGCCGCCTGAGATGAGCTTGTAAAAAGCTTCAACCTGACCGTTTGCTTGAGGACGGCCAATAGATGCAAAGTAATGGGAAATCCCTTGATCTTGCAACCAAGTCTTTTAGGACAGGCGTTTCGAACTGGGGGCCATTGTCAAAGACCATTGACATAGGTACACCGAACCGGGTGATGAGATTTCTCCAGATGAAGGAGATGACATCTTTAGTTTTGATGCCCTTTACCGCCTCAACCTCAACCCACTTAGTGAAGTAATCAACAGACACTAAAATGTATCTTTTACCGCCTGGGGCAGGAGTGTATGGCCCCAAAATGTCCATGCCCCATTTGGCAAAGGGAATATGGCTGTGAATAGCCGTTAAATCAGTGGCCGGCTGTCGGATCAGCCGGCCAAACTTCTGGCACTTGTCACATCTTTTTACCAGATCTAATGCGTCTGCCTCGAGAGTGGGCCAAAAGTATCCTTGACGTCTAGCTCTTTTGACCAGAGTCTTCCCGTCAATGTGTGATCCACAGAAGCCGGCATGCAGATCTTCCAGTATTTCCTTTCCCCTTTCTGGGGTAACACATTTGAATAGCGGTTGTAGGTAACCCTTCCGAAAGAGTTCACCTTTGTGCATTACGAAGCTTAATGCTCGTCTTTTAAGAGCAGCCGCCTCTGATGAGACACCCGGTAGAGTGCCGTCTACCAAGTAGTCTCGGATGGGGTCCATCCAAGTGGAGCTTCAATCTAGAACTCCAATGGGATCATGTTCAATGATTTTCTTTTCCATGACTTCCTAGAAGACTAACCTAGGCGTATCACATGTGGCAAATGATGCCAATTTTGATAGTGCATCCGCCTGATTATTCTCGGACCTGGGTACTTGACTTAGATTGAATTCATCAAATGCCCCAGCCTCCTCCTTGACCGCCTAAAGATACTTAATCATCACCGGATGGGTGGCCTCATAATCACCGTTGTACTGGCTAACGATGAGTTGAGAATCAGAGCAGGCGTCCACCTTCCTTGCCCCGGCTGCCTTACACATGCGTATACCGGCCAGCAGGGCCTCATACTCTGCTTCATTATTTGAAGCTTGAAACTTGAATCGTAGAACATACTCGTATTTGTCCTCCTCCGGGGAATGACAAATTACGCCTGCCCCACAACCGTTCACAGTAGAGCTCCCGTCTACATATACTTTCCAAACTTGATCAGTTTTATCCGGCTGTATCGGCCTTGTCATATCAACTATGAAGTCGGCAAATGCCTGACTCTTCACTGCCCGCCTAGGTTTGAAAGTGATTTCTAGACTTTGAATTTCCATAGCCCATTTAATCATTCTTTCGGATGACTCTAAAGTGGTCATAGGCCTTTTGAGCGGTTGGTCGGTATAGACGGTAACCAGATGAGCCAGGAAATAAGGGTTCAACCGCTTGACTGCTTTGAACAAAGGCAAACCGAATTTTTCGATCATGAGATAGCAAAGTTCGGCATTCCGAAGGACATGGCTTTTAAAGTAGAACAGGAGCTGGTTGCCATCTCTCTCAGCAAGGAGAACGACACTTAAGGAATGATCTAAGATGGCTAAGTACATGTAGAGAGCCTCCTGGGGTAGGGGACTCACTAATCTTGGCAAAGAATGCAAGTGTTGCTTTAGTTTTTGAAATGCCGCCTCAGCCTCTTCACCCCATTCAAACCTTGACCTCTTTTTGATTGCTTGAAAGAAATACAGGCATTTGTCACCTGATCGGCTGAGGAATCTCCCCAATGCCGCCAGGAAATCGGTAAGCTTTTGAGCCTCCCTGACGGTACGAGGCGACTGCATGTCAATCACCACCTGTACTTTGTCCGGATTGGCCTCTATGCCTCTCTGATCAATCAAAAATCCGAGAAGCTTCCCAGACTCAACTCCAAAGACGCATTTTTTCGGGTTTAACATGACTTTATGCCGCCTGAGGGTGGTGAAGGTTTCTCGGAGGTCAGCTAGATGATCCGCCTGTAGTTTTGACTTGACTATCATGTCATCGATGTACGCCTCCACATTCCTTCCAATCTGATCATAAAAGACCGAGTTCATCATTCGTTGGAAAGTGGCAGGCGCATTCTTCAACCCAAATGGCATCACCGTGTAGCAGTATAGCCCTTGATCTGTGACGAAAGCCGTCTTTTCTTGGTCTTTCTTCCACAAGGGTATCTAATGGAAGCCGGAGTAGGCATCCATAAAACTCATCAGGGCATGGCCGACTGTAAAGTTTACCAAATGATCTATCTTTGGAAGCGGGTAGCTATCTTTTGGACAAGCTCTGTTTAAGTCCGTGTAATCAACGCACATCTGCCAGGTTTCATTCGGCTTTTTCACAAGGACAACATTGGCTACCCAATCCGGGTAGTAGCATTGCCGGATGAACCCAGCATCTAAGAGTTTCTTGACCTCAGTTGCTGCCGCCTGTGACCTTTCCTCGCCATGGTTCCTTTTCTTTTGCCTGACCGACTTCTTCTTAGGATCCACAGCGAGTTTATGAACAGCAAGATCCGGACATACACCCGACATCTCTTCTACTTCAAAGGTAAACACATCTTTGAACTCCTTCAGAAAAAGGAGCAAGTCAGGTCCCAAGTTTTTAAAAGCAACCGTCCCAATTTTAACGGTTCTGTCAGGCCGGCTGCCTTCAAGGACAATGTCAATTATTTCTCCAGCCAGTTGGGGGCGAAGGCCGTCTGGCCTCTCCCATGACAGTGATTGCTATTGCTTCTCTTTGACGGGAGCCAGTAGTTGGTCCACCTTTCTCTTTTTACCGGCTAGCTTAATAGCCGGTGAGCTTTGATCACAGTCGTCAAGTTCAACTATTTCTTTCTCCTGACCGTCTGTGTCAAGCGTTGGTTTGATGTCCGAGATGTAACACTCTCTCGCCATCTTTTGGTCCCCACTCAAGGAACCGACTGTGCCATCATCCCTTTCAAACTTAATCAACATTAGGGATGGGATGATGACTGCTTTTGAGATGTTAAGGGTTGGGCGGCCAATAATCAAGTTGTAGGCAGTCAGTTCTCCTACAACAAGAAACTTGACAACCATGTGTCGGCCCTTTCCCTTTTCTCCGAACCGGATGGGTAGATCAATCATGCCCATCGGATGTACTACTCCTCCTCCAAAACCAGCAAGAGTGTATGAGGCCGGATGCATGTTACTGGGCTTGTACTTGAGTTTTTCCAAGCACCGGTAGCTTATGAGGTCAGATGAGCTCCCGGTATCGATTAAGATCTGGCCAACTCGTTGATTGGCGATTTTTCACTCGATGACTATGGGGTTATCATGAGGCCGCCTGACCTCTCCTCTATCTTTCTCAGAGACGTTAACTTCCGGAAATGAATATTTAGACGACTGGCCCTCATCTAATGAGTTGACCAGTTTCCTAATGTTATCCTTCGTGCCCCGGATGGTAGGCCTACCTCCCGCAAATCCACCAGCTATGGTTAGGATGGTATCCTCATCCATATCCGATTGATTAGCTGGTGTCTTTAGGGGTGGTCCTTTTACTTGTTTGGGAGCACCCTTTGACTTGGATAA